TTTTTTTTTTTTTTAAGAGGACAAGAGCGGCGAGGTCTATCGCGATAGTTTAATTTCTCTATCAGTAAAAGTTATATCGCGATACATATCGTTATCGTTCTATCGCCCAGCTCTAAGTGCTATACAGCTGTTCAGAGGTTCTGTCAGAGGACATGCTAAAATATAAAGGCAGCTGTAGACTACACCGTCGTTTAAACAATGGCCTGAGCAATTGGTTGCAACCCAAAACATTCCTAGAAATCATCAGTGCTGGAAAAGCACTCACCGTCAGCTTCTTGGTGTGCTGGGAAGCCTGCTTCCCTATAATCAGCAGATCTTGATGAGACACTGCCCCCAGTCCCATAAGTGCATCGCCTGTGGCAGCCTGATGACTCTCCACTGCTGAAATGTTTGCAGACTGAGAGCTCTCAGACGATGTAGATTTTGGCATGGTATCTGGCAGCTGGACATTAAGGCCAACCTGGTTTTCCATCTTGTTACTGGCCTGTGTTAGGCTGCAGCCAGTCTGCTTCAGCCCTGGTACCAGCAGTTTGTTTGGGGTTAGAATTCCATCTGACACAGTGGTGAAGGTGCCATCGCCTTTTTCACAAACAGCAACCACCGGTGACTTGGCTTGGTCATTTTTCCTGGATAGCTCAAAGGAGACATAACTATAAGGCACTTTTGTGGCTCTAACTGTCTTGGCTTGTGCACTTACAGGGGTTGTGGTGTTGGGATGATCTGCACTAGAACAAGCCGCAAGCTTCCCTCCACCCCAGGGGGAGGACTGGTTGGTTGGCATGGTAAAAACCAGCGATGTCGTCCTTATTTCTAAAGGCTGGTTTTGTGGCAGTTTTGGGTGATCACAGTAAACAATTTGACAGTTGAGAAAACTAATACATGAATGGCTGAAAGCTCCTCCTCCTGTTGCTGACCCAAAGTTGGTGATTTTCAAGGTCAACTCCAACTAAACAGATAACCAGTTCTTGATAAAGCCAGACCAACAGTAACCACTACTTCCATGGCAAATGTCTGGGCCTCTCATCTGGGCTGGAGGTAAGCAGGAAAACATTGACTTGTGGTTGTGCTGCAGGTTTAGATATTTTCAGGTGTGAAGTGTACGTAATTCAAGCTGAATCTTAAGTCTCTGGTTCATCAGGAGGAAGGTGTTTTTCCGTCATTTTCTCATATACTGCTGCGGGAAGAAATGTGGCTGCACCAGATTGTTCACACTAAGGTATCAGGACTTGACAGGAGAATGGGATCCCCCACAGCCATCATATCATCCTCAGTCACTTTACAGGAAATGAAACTGTCCACTCTCAGCCCTAATACTGTAAGCACAAGAGAAAAAAGCACAGTCAATTATTATTAATTATTATGAAAATCCTTTCATATTATCATCACTTAGTATTTGCACATATTCGAGCCATTTTACTGCAGTAGGCACATACAAGGTCACAGGTAATCCAAATTTTTGTGTCACTGAAAAACTGGGTCGTGAACATTTTAAATTGCTTAAATTACAGAACAAGTTTTAGATTGAGATTAAACTACTTAGAAATATTGCATCTTTATGGTTTAATCTTTGAAGAATAGCATTGGGTGACTGGAAGAATATATCTGTGTTGGTAGTTAACTCACTTAATTGCAGTCGTTTTTGTTTTGGGTTTTCCCCCATATTTTCTGTCAGATTGTGTTCCAATTATATGTTATATTTGAGATGACGGCCGTTGAACACATAGCCCAGCCATAATGGGGGCAGATTGTTGTATTCCGTATGCATTTTTAATTTTGGGTGCTTTACGTAACGTGTACTACGGCTAACATGCTTCAGGTAATATTAAGGGCATATAGAACACTGTGGCGATGTCCTATAGATCAGTAAGACCGAACGTGGGGAGTTGGCTAGCTTGAAGTAAACTATAACGTCCCATAATCACGGCTGTCGCTGCTGACTTTTGTCATAGTGACGACTGTCAGAGAAAGCGTGGAGAATTCACGTGTGAGCTGACATGCCGCTTCAGTTTAGCTTCACATTAGCCTACTTATAAGTCTAGTTTGATTACGTTAAGTGATAAAATGGTGTTAGCTGACGCGAAACTGAGTTTCCATAGAAACAATGCACCCACCCTGTGGGGTAGCGATACATAAAGACAGTTTAACTAACCTACCTTCAGTTTACCGCTACAATGTTCACTTCGTGTTAGCTTAGCAACCCAGACCGACTCAATTAAACTGCTAAACTGTTGTCATGTGCTCTAAGAACTGCCCGGAGGATAAAATACTTTTATGAACTCATAGGAATCTTGTTATTCTATGTTCGTACCTACTTTGTCTCATGTAATGACTAAAGCTGGTGTTCCTAGTCGAACGATAGGATGCATGTTGCACCGCTGAGCTTAAAAATCCAAACGATACATCAGCGTGACCCAAGATCGTCTATTGAACTAATAAGACAGCAGGACTTCTTCTTCTTCTTCTTTTTATCAGTATTTATTGGCGGTTGGCCGTACAAACAAACCCTAGAGCAGGACTTCTTCTTCGTAGAGGTTTTTGGCGGAGCGTTACTGCCACCACCTGGTAAAGATACGTCACTTCATAGTGCGGATCCCGCGCTACAGTCCCTGGTAACTGTTGCTAAGGGAATCTGGTTCAGATCTTAGTGGGCACACGGGAACGAAAGAAACGTTTATTTGCTTCGACACCAAACAGATTACATGAATCTACTGAAATCCTTTGCGTAACAATTCCTAAATTAAACTTTATTTTAATCTCTCCCAGTTTCCTTTTAGGTGTTTTCTTTCAAATAAATAAATAAATAAAATAAATTCACCATATATTGTGTTCTAACATGATACTAACACAGCAAAGTAACGAGAGGTAGGGTGTCAAACGAAGGTGCTATCTCCCCCACTCTCCAAACTTTTCACTATCTTCAGCTCCATCGATCAGATCAACATCCCAGAAAGTGACTTGATGCTATAAAAAGTGTTCCTGTATTTTCTAACACTTTATTTTGGCAGATGTGTGCTGTCCAAGAACCACCGGGTGGCGACTGCCACAGTGCCGTCTTGCTTGCTTGCAGTTCAGAATTATAATCAACATAAATCAGTTGAAAAGTTAACAGATAAGGAAAGAAAGCATCATGTAGCCTTGGGTCTTTTTAGCTTTCGCCAGCAGAGGGATGACTAGAGTCCCTGTAGATTCTGCCTCTTCCAGTTCTTACTCCTCTCACTTCTTTAACTCCCTCAAGCACAAATCTTTGCTTTTTTCATTATCTTTCGCTTCTCTATTCCTTCCTCTGTCCCTTTTCTTTTCCCTCTCTCCTTACCTCCTTGTCCCTTGTATTCTCCTTCTTGACTGTCCATCACGTTCCCTCTCCTCTCTCTCATTTCCTCTATTTCCTGTTCTCTCTCTCGTCTTCCTCTACTCCTTCTCTCCTTATATATTCTTTTTAACCTTTCATATTTACCTTTGTTTTTTCACTTCTTTGACGTTTTCACTCTCTGTTTCATTCTCCAGTCATTCTTTTCCTTTCTCTGGACTGTCCCTTTCCTTGTTCTCCGTGTTCTTTTCACGTCCTCCCTCTTTTCCTTTTCCTTCCTCTCCCCAGACTCCCTTCACCATCCCTTCTGTTTCCTGTTTTCTCACTTTCCTCCTTTATTTTCCTTTTTTACCATCAATCCTTTCACCTTTGTCTTGCATGTCACAGCTTGGAGACCGTGTGTGTGCGTGTGTGTGTGCGTGTGTGTGTGTGAGAGAGAAAGAGAGAGAGTGTGTGCGGGTTGTGTGTGTGTGTGTGTGTGTGTGTGTGTGTGTGTGTGAGTGAGTGTGTGTGTGTGTGTGTGTGTGTGTGAGAGAGAGTGTGTGTGTGTGTGAGAGAGAGAGAGAGAGTGTGTGTGTGTGTGTGTGTGTGTGTGTGTGTGTGTGTGTGTGTGAGTGTGTGTGTGTGTGTGTGTGAGAGAGTGTGTGTGTGTGAGAGAGAGAGAGAGAGAGAGAGAGAGAGATAAAAGGAGCAGGAGACCACAAGCTGACTGAAGCTGAGAAGCCAAGCAGTGAGTTTAGCAGCAGCAGGAATGCTTCTGTGAACAATGTGCAGGCAGACGGGACAGGAAGGAGAAATGAGAACTAAGAACTCATGATGATCTCTCACCTACTAAACTATTTCTGAACCTGAGACTAATCTGGACCAGAGATGAATAAAGAAGAAAAAGACCCCAGAAAGAACAAAACTTTGGAGACTTTTGGATATTTGGGGATTTTTTCCTGCTGATATCAAGAAGAAAATAGGATTAAAAAAGTGAAGAAGTTGTTTGATTGGAAGATCAGTCAGAAGATGTTGATGTCCACTTTATCCCCTCAGATGCAAAGAAAAGCAGAATGAAAGGAAGTCAGTCCACCTGTTAATGGATAAGATGCTGTAGAGTAATATTTGTGTCTTAGTTTAAATAAAGTAAGAAGAAAAAGGCACAACTGAAGATATACAGAATTTGGTTTGTTTAAAAAAACTGTAGCTGAGATTTTAATAAATTAAACTGAGTAACAGAACAGAGGTTCTGATCTTGCATAGAGGAACAGAAAAGTTCAATAACATAAAGTGGTCAGAGGAAAGATATGTGGATAAAAGAGAACAAAGACTAACAGGTTTGGAAAACCAAGAAAAAGAGATTTATACAAAAAAACAGGAGAAAGGTAAACACTTGAAAAAACTGCAGGTGTGACAATGGTTTCTCTCAGAGCTTTCCTCCTCGTCCTCATTTTGCACACTACAGTTGTGGTCCCAGCAGCCAGCGTAACCCTGAGCAGGCTGGAGCGCTGGGTCCGCTCAGCCCTCCAGTCACTGCAGTGGAACCAGCTGGAGCGCTGCCGTCGCCTGTCCTCCCTCTCTGAGGCTGAATGCAGGCAGCACGCCCACCTGCCGCTGTCCTCGGTGGCTGTGTACGTGGCGGAGCCTCACAGTGTCGCAGGTAGCAGTACTCTCTTATTCTGTTATTCACAGTGTTCAGTGTGCTTCCTCTGAGCACACAGGTCTGGTGGATGTACACATATTTATTCCAAAGATGTCTTTAAACATCCATGACCATCAGGAGAATGTGCTTTCAAACAATTTTTCAGAACATAACAAATTTTACTCACAAGTTAAAAAAGATTTGACCAGATGTTTACAGAGGTATCTTACTAAGCTATTACATATTATTAAGTATGCATGAAATAGCTGCATTGTACCAGCTATGAAATCCGTTTTCCTGTTTCGCATCCCGGTAGGTCACTCTGACAAAGTTTTGGCCATCCTACCAGACTCCTCCGTCGGGATGTTGAGCTCCAAGCTACGGAGACGCTTCAGCGGCAGCCAGGTGCTGAATGGGATGCAGGGTCCCCACAGACACCAGCAGTCTCTCCCTCGCTCCATGGCCCACGATGCTGTGTTAGTGCTAGATCCAAGCCCTGGGGAGAACTTTGGACACCCAGTGGTCCTCTTCTATGTGGATGTGAATGTGACAAAGAAAAGATGCTCCCACTTAGATGGCATTTACCTGGGTGAGTCTCAAGACACCGACAGTTATCCAGTCCATGAACTTTAAGAGCTCACAGAGTGCCAATTTAAAAAAAAATGTCACTGCTAGTTGATTTGATGACAAAACTCGTGTTGTGGATAAATCATACAGTTTATAGAAAACATAGCCCAGCCTTGGAAGTCAAGATTACGTGGATCTGTTTGCCAGCAGGAGGTAACTCCTCTGGATGCAAAAAGAAATCAAATTCTATAAGTTTTATTTGTTAGGATTAATTTTAACTTTGGTACAGGTCAGCTGGAAGAAGTGGTGGATGTAGGAAATGTTGCTGCAGTCACAGAACAGGGAGGAGTAAAGGAGTTTCCCTGGATCACAAAATAAGATGTTTGGGACAGATTCACTGGGTGAGGCGAGTTACTGTAATGCTGCAGTTGTCAGATGATCGACTAACAATGTGCTTTAATTTATGTACAAAGATGCATTTGATTTAAGGGAAAACTCTTCTGATAGAAATCGCTGTGCACTGTGCAAAGGATTGTGAGGATTAGGACTCAGGTACAGCGAAAGATTTATCCAGTGGAGCACCTCATTATTAAAAACTCTCCCACCCCACAAACCAGAAACCTGTGTGCAGCTACTGACCTGTACGATGTGTGGACCACGAGCTGTCCCAGTTGCTATGTTACTGCGCCACATGCATGTATGTATGCATGTATGCATGCACTGCTTTTTAGTTTTGACTCATGGAAGTCCAACCACACATCTCTGTAAGTATGGTACTGGTACCAGTCTATGTCTATGGTTTCTTAGTTGCAGATGTTGATTGTTTTACTGTCTGGTGTTCTTGGTTCCCATTCGGTTTTGAATCTTGATTCCAGTTTGTTTTTTTATGAGCTCTTGTTGCTCCTCCTACACTACATTGCCAAAAGCATTCACTTGTTCACATGTACATGAGTAATATCACATTCTTAATCCATAGGATTAATATGTTGTCAGCACACCTTCAACTCTTCAGGGAAAGCTTTGCATAAGGCTTAGAAGTATTTTTGTTTTTATGAGACACTGATGTTGGATAAGAGGACCGGGCTCACAGTTTTCTGGCAACCACCAAACCAATGCATCGGCAGTGATTGAAACACCTGAATTTAGTGATTTGGATGGGTGGGTGAATGCTGTTAGCAATATAGTGTATGTCAAGTCAATAATCAGTAAATGCAGTTTCTGCTTTATTTGATAGTGGTTTGATCTTGTATTGAGTTTTACTTCCTTGTCTTGTTGCTTTGATTAGTTTCAGCTGTGTTTCCTCATGCCTCAGTTTTCCTCAGGTTTTTCACAGGCCTGAAAAGGACAAATCAATCAATGATTGAGAAACTCCCCTAAAAAGGCTTCTTTGAACATGTGGTTCACCTGTACCATGCAGCCCAGCATGCAGGCTGCAACTAAGAAACATAGCTGGGAAAGGGGGGGACTGAAGGGTTTTTCCCCCAAAACCTCTTATTTGTGTTATTCTTCTGCCATAATGACATTTGACTTATAGCTCCATCACTTGGCCGTTCATCTTGAGAAGTGTGCAAAATTCTTTTTTTTGTGCCTCTTCTGCAGGTACAGGTTGCAGGTAAGTTTAAAACCTGGCCTTATCATTCACAAGGAGACAGACCAATGTGAGGCGAACTTAAGAATTAGTTTCCATGCATCTGAAAAGCTCCACTTTCAGTGACAACAACAACTTTAATGAACAGCAGGTCAAAAGGCAGAGTAGGAGAGTTTTTTAAAAGTGCGTTATTGCTGCACTACTGCTCCAAAGGAACGGCAAATAAAAGCTTTCTGTGATGTATGTGTTCCTGCATCTCTGATAAAAGCAGAGTATGTTCAAGTGAAGGTTTATGACCTCCCACTGTGAGAGGGGTTAAAGCCAAATGCTGAGCTATTCATGCATGCACACGCAGCACTGTGCCCCCTGCTGGGTCCCATAGGTAGATTTAGATGAGCATTTTCTTTAGAGAGAAACTTTCTTTTGACCTAATTTAACCAAATCAGGGCAGAAAGGAGAAAAGAGAGAAATGACAAAAAGAAAAGAAAATGGTAAAAGTAGAAGACAAAAAAAGAAGTAGAGAAGATAAACAGATGTGGAAGAAAAGCTATATACAGTTCACTTTTTTACTGGTTCCATAAATATCTCTAAACCAATAGGGTCCAAGGTAATTCATGTCTCTCCCAGTTAGTGGTTTGGTGTGCATTAAAGATTAAGGGCTGTATTAAACATTTGCAGAACCTTACTCTACTTATAAAGCTAAGAAAAGGAGGCCAGGCTAACAAACTTTATCATTTATTTTTACTTTCACAGTGCTCAAATTTCCCTTTCACTCATCTACCCACTACAGGAAACTGACCCTAAACCTTCTCCTGCTGTCGTCTGCCTTTGTGTCTTCAGGTGATGAATGTTTGACGCTAGCTTTAAAGGGTCGCTGTGAGAACCAGCTGAAGCATCGTCACACCGGGGCAGAAAGGGTGATTGGTAATGGTCACATGACAGTTGGCACCATTAGCACCAGCGGTGGTAACCGTCTGCTCGAGCATGCCATTGGAGGGCTCTGTGAGGTCCACTTCCTCCCACTGGTCGTTGGAGTCAGAGACAGTAACCGAACACAAAGACTCAGATGTGTTGGTAGGTACAGCAGGTCTGAAAAAAGCCCAGCTCAGTCCTTGCAACCAGCCTACACTAACCAGTTAGAGGGCATACTTTTCCCTTTTTTTTTTTACAGACAACTAATTAACAGCACTGTATTCAGAGTATTTGGAGTATTCGGAGTATATGTAATGACTCTGTGCTGAACTGAAATACATAATAACCACAGAAAGCCCAACAACTGACATAAATACACAAGTGTCTTAAATGGGAGTCTACTGTGTTTTGCACATTCCTGCAGCCAATCCGGTCGTTAAGTCTGACGTCACTAGCCGTGTCTGGGCCTAAACTCCGCTGCAGGTCCATAAATCAAACGATCACTGTGGCATTACTGAGAGTTGAAAAACTGTCTAAAGTCTTTCATCTTTAATAAAATGATCAGCGTTCTGCTCTACCAGGTGTAACAACTGAGTTTAACATCCAGGCATCCATGAAAACGGAATTTATGACATTTAACGGAGTTAGAAGTTAGCAGGAAGTTAGCTTGCTAGCTTATATCTAAATACAATATAGCATGTCCTGACTGCGGGGTTTTGGAAACAAATGAAAACGTACAGCTCTGTTATCACTTCCAGCATAAAGACAGAAAACTAAACAGCAGTGACGTTTGTAGGGTTACTGAAGTTTGGCTAGCTGCTATATAATGATGTGCTACGTGACCGCTAGCGACACAGGTATGTTAGCATAATATAAACAAGCTAACTTTTTTTCCACTCGATAAAAGTTAACGTGAGTGTTCTCGGTGGTCAGGAACAAATGTAATCGCATGGCAGGATGCTGTAAAAGGACCAAACTTCAGCCAGGAGAACGACTGAGATAATCCATCCACAATACGAGGTTAGTCATTCATATACTGCTGCATGGGCTGGGCTGTAGCTACATCCTAAGGTTTTAAAAACTGAGCTTAAATAAATGATTAGCGGTAATAAAAGCCAAGGGAGCTTTTTGAGATCAAATAGAAGAAAATACAAAACATTAAACATGTTCACAACACAAAAGCCATATTAAACGCAGACTACTTTAGGCCCGGAAGTAGGATTCGTCACGTCATCACTTAACGACCGGATTAGATGATCACCCACATTTAAACAAAACATTGAAAAAAAATATGGTTAAGTGACTACAGCTACTTCTTCTTCTGGCTGTCCTCTTTATGAGTTACCACACAGAGGATCATCTGCTTCCATCCCACCCTATCCTTAGCATCCTCCAGCTCTGCATATTCTCCTTCGTGTCATTGAACCTCGTGAGGTGGTTAGGCAGGAGCACAAAGTGGGTATTCTAAAAAATGGTGGTTTTACTTACCCCAGAAAAATAGACAAAATGAATCAACAATATATATACTAAACAAGGCCAAAGGAACAGAACTAAACTCAAGACAAAATAACAATTCAACATAACTCCAGACTAATTGCTCAACAAAATAAAACTGAACTAACACACAAGAAACACAAAGGACTTAAATACTGGCTGATCAGACCAGGTTGATGCATAAGGGGAACACAAATACCAACAAATTTAACATCAACAAAAGCCCCCAAAAGCAGCATTTAGTTTAATACTTACTTCAAATTAATGATACTCAGCAAATAAGCAACTTATAAGTAAAAGCAATTATGCAACATTTAAGATAATTGTTCTTCCTCATGATAGAACTACACTTACTATCACCCAGTCAGCACTTCCTGTGTATAACAGTGCTGCATTCCAGAGCATATCTTTTGCCCTTTATGACGCCAGCAGCCCTGAGCAGTGACATGAACCCCTGCCAGCACCGGTAAAACAGAGAAAAAGAATTTAATAAAGATGATTGTATCAAAGCTAACTAAATGTGTGCACTACAAATAGAATTCATTTATTTCAACAAAATCGAATAAACATAAATAAAGTGTCGAAAAAAGAACAGTGTCACAATATTTGTGAACCGGTATATGAAATTAAGTTTACTCCTATTTATTCCTAAGGGTAAGGATTCCTCACAATGCAGCTCCTACAGACCGGTGAGCCTCTTAAATTGTGATTACAAAATTCTCACAAAAATTTTAGCTAATAGAATCGATCTTATACTGCCGAAAGTTATCAATCCTGATCAAACTGGCTTTATACCAGGGCAACAGTCATTTTATAATATGCACCGCCTACTTAATATCCTGTACGCATCAGAGCCAAAAGAAAAGTCAGAAGTAATAATTTCTCTTGATGCAGAAAAGGCCTTTGACCATGTAGAATAGCCATATGTTCATGCGGTCCTAAATGAATTTGAATTTGGCCCATTGTTTCAAAAATGGATTAAAATACTGTATTCCTCTCTGGTTGCGGCAGTGAGGACAAACAATGTAACTTCTGACTTCTTTCAGCTTAGTAGAGGCTGCTGGCAAGGCTGTAGTTTATCTCCCTATCTTTTCAACTTAGTAATCGAACCTTTAGCTATCGCTCTTAGGGAGGACAATCAGGTTGCTGGAATCTCTAGGAGCGGGACAATGCACAAAGTATCATTGTGTGCAGATGACTTATTGCTGTATACATCTAATCCAACGGCATCAATCCCTAAACTGCTCAAGGTATTAGATCACTTCAGACGCATATCTGGATGCAAATTGAACTATTCGAAAAGCCCACTGTTCCCTATTAATAACAGAGAGCAAGATTTCTCTGCCTTCCCCTTTAAGTTAGAAAAAGAAATGTTTAAATATTTGGGAATAGATATAACCCGCACAATGATGGAGTTGCGGATTCATAATTTTGACACTTTGTTAGAACAAACATCAGAAGATTTTTAAAAAATGGGCAACATTTCCAATCTCATTAGCAGGCAGAATAAATCTAGTTAAAATGGCGGTCTTACCAAAACGTCTCTATGTTTTCCAAATGATTCCTGTTTTCATAACCAAATCAATTTTCAAAGATTTAAACAGATCAATAGCAACATTTATTTGGAAAAATTCAAATCCCAGAATAGAAAAAACATATTTGGAAGTACCAAAAGAGGGCTAGGGTTGCCACTACTGGGCGGCTAATATCACCAAATTGTTGCACTGGAAATATGTTTATGAGAACAGCGAGAGTGAGGCTTGGGTAAAAATGGAACTGATGTCTAATCCACTTCCCCTCCTAACCTCATCCGTAGCTCTAAATCAAAAACAGAAAATAACAAATCCAGTTGTAGGAACATCTGTTAGAATATGGCTTCAATTCAGAAGGCGCTTCTGTTTGCAACAAGTTAGTAATTTTTTCCCTGTTGCTTTTAACCCTTTTATTGCCATCCATTTCAGATAAAGCATTCCAAATTTGGCACAATAATGGTTTGAAGTTTTTTTACAATTTATTTTCAGGAGAAACTTTTAACACCTTTGATGCTTTGATGAGAGATTACAATATACCAACCTCACATATGTTTAGATACCTGCAAATACGAAGTTTTGCAAAAACATTGTTTCCTTCATTCTCCTACTTACCTCCTAAAAATCAAGTGGATACTATTTTGGAAATGGATCCTTTTGGCAAAAGGCGAATCTCCGTCATATACAAACTGATACAGAGCTTAAGGCCTATTATGTCACAATACGGCTGTGTGCAGGCAAGAGTAGGACCCAAAACGCAAACTCACAGAGTCAAAAGGTAAACTCAAAAAACACCGCTTTATTGCTGGCGTGGAGTGGGACATGAAAAACAATACAAAATAAACTAAACTGGGAAAACTAAAGCACAAGGAGCCACAGGGAAAAATCACACAGCTATGATGGAGGACGCAACACTGACAAAGAGAAACATGGGGCTTAAATACACTGAGGGATAACGAGGGGGAATGAGCCACAGGAGGAGAGCACAGCTGAGAGCAACCAAGCAGGACGAGGCAAGGACGCAAAACTAGAAACACCCACATGAGACATGGACCTTCAAAGTAAAACAGGAAACACACTGACCGAATTCTAAAACACGCAAACTTAACAGCAACTGGGGGGGACAGAACATAGGGATCTGAAACATGGAACAGAAAGGCACAGTAGATCAACATGAACATAACAACGCCACAGGGGAAGAGTAAAACTGACCACGATGAACACAGAAACACCAGACCTCTTCACAATAAAACAGGAAACATAATGAGACGTAGACATGACAACCCAAACTTCACAATGTAAGACACAGACATGAAACACATGAAAAGCAGGGGAGATTTACCATAGTTGGAAACACGAGGGGAAAATAATAAGAACTAGAAACACTTAAGCATGATAACAAATGAACTTAGGAACCTGAAGGGCTTACATAAACTAAAACATCAAAATGAACTAAAACTCAAAACACTGGGTCATAAGACCCAGGACCGTGACAGAGCCCCCCCTTCAAGGGCGGATTCCAGACGCCCAAAACCAGGAACAAAGAAACAAACACGAAACAAAACCAAAACAACCCACCCAGGGCGGGCGGTGGGGGTCCAGGACGGAGGGCCTGAAACTGACCAGAACCAGAGCAAAAGTCCCACAAAAAGGGTGCAAAAGCCCATGAAAGGCACTAAAGCTCCGGAGACAGTTCTCAAAACTTTCCGGGGGCCGCCCTGAAGGGTGTCAGCACAAAAGTCCACAGTTAATTAGTTCAGGGGGCCGTCCTGGAGGTCGATAGCATAACAGTTCATAGTTCAAAGGTTCAGGGGGCCGGCCACGAGGAAGGTGGCAGTGGCGAAGCCGGTATGGCTGGCCACACTCGGGCGGCTTGGCAGGCGGCCGGCGGCGACGTGGACGAGACCCGTCGGGCGGCCTGGCTGGCGGCCGGCGGCGACGTGGACGAGACCCGTCGGGCGGCCTGGCTGGCGGCCGGCGGCGACGTGGACGAGACCCGTCGGGCGGCTCTGGCTGGCGGCCGGCGGCGACGTGGACGAGACCCGTCGGGTGGCTTGGCTGAACCTCCAGCTGGTGCTGCAGAATCAGGCGAGGCAGGGCCGGCAGAAGCAGTGGCATGGGCCAGACCAGGCGAGGCTG